CGAGTGTTGCAGAGAGAACGGCAACATATGACAACCATTATAGAAGAATCATTCTTCGTTTAAGCTGAGGATTAGACTTGGTCCAGCTCAGACCTTAGACAAAAAATGAGCTTTTAAAATAACAAAAATTCACTCTAGTGTATCAACTTTAAACCTGACACATTAACACAAGTTTTGAAATACTAAAATGAGTCCTATGAGGACACATGCAGAGAGCAAAGAGAAAGAAATGTACAAGATGATATAGTTTTACATTCCTATGCAATTGTAAGTCAGAATATGCCAGTATACACATAAGAATAAAATGAAAAACCCACTACTGCCGAATACAATATCTAGATTCCTTACCCTTTGTTCATTTTATCTATCATGTTAAGAAAACTCAGTTTGGTGAGTGGTTTTAAATGCAATAAACTTTGACAGATGAAATTGTTAAGTCTCTCACCTAGGAGACATCAGTACTGTGAAGTGAGCTTTGAATCTGTTATTGAAATTTGCAGTGCTTTGGAACTATTTCAGCAGAATTCTAACATCAGCCAGGAACAGCTTTGAAGTAAACTAGCTTCAAAAATTTCTGGTAGGTAGGTGTGAGAAGGAGCACATGCTTGTGTATAAATACCACTTTTGTGACATTTATATTCTCTGAGCAAATTCCATACCAAAGATAGAATGAATATTTGATAAATCAAAAAGGATTTTCCAGTAGATCAGTGTAGGTATACAAAATGCTTGAGAACACTTTAACCTTTAGATCACTGGCATAAATAGTTATTTAACATAACGGTTGTCAGAAAGCTGCTTACTGTGCAGTGGCATGTCAAGTGAAGTAACAGGAGTATTAGAAACTGTGGTCAGGGAGGCTCAATTTTTCTTATTTTCCTGTAGGAAAAAGTATATTGCTTTACCCAAGGTATCACTTGTTTATAAACTTCATTTCTTCACCTTTCTGGTCTGGCACCTGTTTTGAGCATTTGCTTTATTTTTCTAGGGAAGGAACTTAAGGCAAAATGACAAGGAGAGCAACGTTCACTTTTTCTTAAACGTCATCTCTAATTTCTTTTATACCAAAGCATCGCAGGCCTTGATACCCGCTACGTTTTTTTAAGCTACCATCTGAAGTTGCTGTATAGTAACTGCCTTTTTGTATTCAACATTACAGCCATTTTTTAAAAAGCGGGGGGGAGCTCAGATGAAAGCTTTGGTTTAACTTAATTCCCTTCATCCTCAAGAAAAACAACCTCCTATTTTTCAGATCATAACTTTTCTTCACATACTTGCTGGCTCTTCTTGACTGTGAACACTGGGAGAAGATCATTTTGATTACCAGAGACAGGTAAAAACAGCAGAGAGCTATTTTTTCCCCTCTGAATGAAGAAAAGTATAACTGGAGATCACAAAACACAGTTCTCATCCAACAGCTGAATTCTATTTCCATTTTCCCACTGACTCTTCTGGTGTCCTGGAGTGAATCACACTAACACTCTTGGCCTCAGCCCCTCAAAGAGTGTGTTAAAAAGGGGCTGTGATACCAAGTTTTTAGAAACCACTTAGATGCCTTTAGACAGTGCTGCTGAAAGGATGATTATGGTCCCACTTTTTCCCTCAGCAAAATACCCCTGACTGCATTTAGTTTTCCAGCACAAAAATTACTTATTACTTACTGTTATTCAGAAAGGGGTAAAACCCGTCCTTCATATAACCCTGAGTAGTTGCCAATAGCTTAGAAAATTACTCATTAATTTCAGAGAGTGAAATGTTTCCCTGATGCTAGTCCTTCACATTAATGCAGTTATACTCAGGGCAGTTTTGGTGCACTGAGTATGCAATTCATTTCAACTAATTAGCAGGATAATTTCAGTGGTTTGCCTTTGGCTGTATTACTCAGATTTTACCATGTGCCACTCTCAAAATGTGGAAGTCTGTTGCTCTGATAGATTTATAGCTTCTGTTATACAGGCAGACCTACAGTAAGCTGGGAACATTTGCATCTTGCATCCCAAGAGTCAAAAGGCCATTTGCAATTTGGGAGTAATGGGTCTCTGGTCATGTACAAAAAGAGGTGACCCACATACCTATTATTTTCTAGTCACTTTGCTTTATTTATAAGAAAGTTTTATTTTAATTTTCTATCAGAGTTTTATGAGTTAGCAATCACAGCCACTGGATACAGCCTTGGAATATCGCACTTTCATGGTGAGATATTCACAACCTTAATATAAGAATACATTTTTTCTCTGAACTTCATGCTGGCAATGGGGGTGAGGCAGGGAGAGCCACACTGTTATGATCAGTACCCTACTTTTGATTCTAATTAATTTAAATCTGAGCTGTGTGGTGTGGAGAACTCAGAGACAGGGTATGAAGTCTGCCTCCAGAAAATTACTAATGCAGATTGTTAGACATCTTTTCTACCTTTTTACTTTTCTGGTAAAAATAAGCATTATGGAAGATAAGTCAAATGGATGCTCTGCACATACATGGGGCTTTGTACTCCTAGTTGAAAACGACAGAGCACGGTCAATCTTTTCTTGTCCACTGAGCCATTCAATTTCAGAAGAAAGTTGTTCCACAGAAAAGTATGCTAAAGGCCTATTCAATTTTCTGGCTACCAAAGGAAACAGAGCCAGGAGCAGGTAATCACACAGGTGCTCTGTCCTCACTTTTAGTCTGTCTTCACACTGCCTTGGAGATAGAAGGGGTCACAGATTAGACTCTTAGGATCTTCCGTGTTGCCAGAGCACTCTGGCACTCAGAAAATGTTAGCTGGACCCACAAGATGCCACATGGCTACATTTGTCAGTTTTACAGACTCCTGTAGCAAATCTTGCAGATTTCAGTCTTGAGCTCACCTCATACAAAAAGGGTTTTAATACAGAATTATCTGTAAAATATGAACTAGTGTTGTCTGCTTGTACTTGTCCTATTAAAGATTCTTTTAGGTTTTCCTTACTATTGATCCTGCTACCATCCACTGAGCTGCTCTTGGCTTGAAAGATGCCCCTTGTCATTCACTAAAGCTGATACAACCTCTCCCTAGAAAGATGTCTAAGGATTGAGAGAGGCATAGTTGGCATATAGTTTTTTTTTGCTTAAATAAAGCTGTGGCTAGTGAGGGACTCATTCTTAGAGAGTATTTTTGATAATATAATTCTTCTGTCATTCAGCAGAAGGTTAATGAACTATGGAAACATAGATGATTTAGAAAGATGGCTTTCATACCAGGTGTTAGTACACCTTGAACAGATGACAATATGCTTTTCGTGTAAGTTAAGGACTTAGAAAGTGGGATTAGAATTCTGGAAGAGTTCAAGCGACTTTGCAGCTAAAATCTCATTCAAAGTGAATGGGCTTCAAAGTCTCTGTAGCACCTCCTTATTATTTTTCCCTTCAGATCCATCAGGGGGTGTAAGCTGGAAACTAGAACACTCTTAAAACTGGTTGCTTCTCAAAATTATTAGTGCAGGAGAGGGACAGAGAGAAACAGGATAAGTCATTTTGAAGTAATATATAAAGGCAGCACCGTTGAACAAGATGTCCTCCTCCTGACATCAAGTACAGCACCTGTGCTTTGGTGTTTGGAAGAGAGCAGACAGAGATGAATTTGCACAAAAAGTAACAACCATTTCTGGTAGATGCTTACTTATTTTGGTGGAATGGGATGAGAAATACTTGATCAGAAGTTTAGGAGAGTGAAGGTTCATTCAAATGGCCTTTCCTATCATGTGGTTTGAATAAAGGCCCGTCGTCTCACAGAAGGCCTCAAGAACCCCATGCCTGCCACCTTCATGCAGTCTCAGGGAAAACAGCCCATCTGTATCCTTTGTCCTAGTACTTCCCTGCAGCAGTGCCTCCACCTCAAGCCAGGGGATTCAGTTGCTTTTACAAATGTTTCCTGTCCAAAAAAATGTTTTCTGTTCAAAAAATCAAGTGAGCTGGTTTTCAATAATCTGTTGTCTTGTGTTGGAATGATTTAGAGGGCACAGAGATGTGAGAAGCTCTAGCAGGAGGAAGCAATGAATAGCTGAGAATGGTAACATCTACTCTTGAAAATAGGCATGTAAAACATGACACACCTCCCCTTTTTCCTATACTGGTATAAATTGTTCCTGACTGAATAAATTAGTGATCTGCAGCGCAACCTCAGTCTGGACCAAAATGTTTTTCCTTCATTCTGATGTACACCTATAAGGCTGTTGTCATACGGCCCTATAGGTGCAAAACCTGAAGGTTTTCATATAGACATAAGAAAAAATGGCCAGTTTCTTGGCATATCCTAAAGCACAGTGCCAAATAGCACACGATGGTCCTGACACAAATGACGTGCTGAAAAATCTTTCTCAGCACAACCTATGAAAAATATCTATACATCTAGAATGGGACTTAACTTCAAACTCACAGGCATAAAACATTTTGAATGAACTAATACTATTATATCCCACAGTTTTTTAGTGTATATAGGATATCATTTCCTATAGGGAAAGAGTTTCAGAAGAAAAAGAAGCCAGCAGTGCAATTAATTTATTCTTTAAAAATGTCACTGAAATACCATACTGAGAACAAGGGGAGAGCCATTAGTTCTAGAATATTATGCAAAATATGTGGCAGTGTCATTCCAAAGGGCCAGGGTAGTTTACTTTTAATTACTATTTAAAAGGCAGAAAACAAAAGGCTTCATTGATAAATAGACATAGTAGCATTAATATAAAGCATATATCTTGTGATCTTTTTGAAAAGAAGCTGACATTTTCGAATGACAGTATAGAAACTACATGAAGAGAGCAGAGAAAGAAATCATTAACAACTTACCTAATGCTGTTCTTGCTGGTGTGGCATCTTTTTTAATCCAAAAGGACACCCAGGAAAGAACAACAGTTAATATACAGGGAATGTATGTTTGAATAGTGAAGTATCCCATTCTTCTACTTAAGTCGAAGTATATAGTCATGACTACATAATCACCTGCAATAATAGCACAGAAAATAAATTGACATTGTGGTGAGATACAGGTAGTTCTTCATTGTGCTGTGTTTTTAAGCTCCGTAAAATACAGCATGTGAAATGTTTCTCAATGTTTTGAGAGAATCTGAGCAATAATAAAGACAAGACTTGAAATAAACTTGTCCATTTTAATTTCCTATCGTTTAGGTCTCTGAAAATGTTGACCTATTTGAACAGGCAGAGGATCTTGGGAATTCTTCATGATGAGTAATCTTTTGAAAAGCATCTTGGCTTTCCAGACTTGGTATTTCTGGATGGGTAAGTGGCCACAAACATGAATCTACCTTCATTCACTAGATGTGGAAGCAGCCCACGCAAAATCTCTCCTTCAGCAGACTGTGCTGTCCTTCTTGCAGATCTGAATGACTTCTGTTGCCTTTTTCTAACATGTGAATCAGGTGGTAGGGGTGTGTATGGCAAAGTGTAGCATGCACAGCAGTATGCCTTTATATAATAAGTTATTTATAGACACTAGAGCCTTGATGCTGGTGAAAGAGGTCAGAATACATATTTTTAAAGGTCACATCACTATAAATCAAGAATCTGTTTTTATCAGCATTCCTCCATCTAAAAGTAGTAATGGTCACTTGTGGTACTGTAAACCTTCAGAAGATGACCCTGGACATAATGCTTGTTATTCTGCAGGATACTAAAAATCATAAGATCAAGAGCTCAGTAAGAAGCCTATTTTATCTCACATTATATGATTTTCTTCACACTATCTCTTCTGCTAATCTTCACAACTCCATAGGGGATAACAATCTGTCCCTCTCTCTACATAGTAGAGACCTTATCACCTCTATCCTCAGTAGCAGCTCCCTCAGTTTCACAGCTGTTAACTATCCTTTTCTTTCAGACAGCCACAGTGATTAACAATAATGAAATTGAACTGAGACCAATTTCTGTACTTTGCTTGGAGTATGTTGATTCAATTTTAGTTGTGAAGAAGAGTTTATATGCCAGAGAACTTTTATGGTGTTTTTTTTTTTTTTTTTTTTTTGTCTGACTATGTCACTTGACTAATAAATTATACAAGCTTCTTGTTACAAGGCTTGCTTTTCTAGAATAAGATATTTGCAGAAGACGTAATTTACTACAGGTAGATAAATATGTCCTCTTACATCAAAATTCCAAAAGAAATTGATAGAACAGAGGAATTACTTCCCAACAGATTGGTAACTGAGAGTGTATAAACAAAAGCACTGAATACAATGGATATTTTGACGATAGCAAAATATGACACAGAAAATACATTAATTCAGTAAAAATAATTTCCACCCAAAGAAACTCTGAAAACCACTATAAAATGAGTGAACTTCCATAAGTTAAAAAGTCAAAGGTAAATAAAAATCTGAGGGTGGCATTTGGGAAGAGAAACTTAGAACAATGAGTCAATAAGAAATGTTCTATGTGTTAGTACATTATTTTAAGATAGCTATAAATTGGAAGAGGTTTGATATGCTCACGGGTACTTCCATCATGCCTCTGTTAGATGAATGGATGGATTTTCATGAGTACTGTGCAAGTACAAACCTTATCACCCCAAGAAGTTGGACATTCATTCCAAAATTCCTCATGCATTTAACATACAAAGACAGAGCTTTAAACTAGAGCCCAGTGCTGTTACAAGCAGAGAGCACTGCAATACATCATGATGTAGTGAGCCTTGTGGGTTTTCACAGACTGGTTACTTTCATTCCACTAATCCCCATCACTTTTCTCTGTACAGGGAATGGCAGCAGGGAACTGACATGGGTAAGTATCCGCTGGTCCTTCTGACTTACTATTAAACTGTATCAGCATTCTAATCTTCAACTAATAAGAACAAACCCAACTACCCAATGTGACTTATCTGAATTTTACAAAGAACTGCAAATTCCCAAGTATCCAACAAAGACCCATAGAAGCACTTAAGGAATATGAAATCCTAGGATAATTATTGGGTCAATTCATTTAACCATCAATTTCTTTTCTTACCTGAAATTCACACAAAAAATTCTCACATGAAGAAGGGAGACACAGTCATATAGGCAGCAGCTGCGCATATGATCTTATATACTGTACCTTCTGTGATGTTCTCTAACTTACGTACTGATAGGCAATATAAAAAAACATTGGGAGAATAATTTTGTTCAGTAGAATTATTGGCACACAGTGGAGTAAGATAAGAATTATCTGGTTCTCCTACAAGAATCTTGCAGAACATGGAGAGGACACAGCTTGGAGAATAACAGTATTGATGGTAATGCATAGGAAAAGGAGAAGGAAATCACTGCTGAAATGGTGACCAAACATAAAAATGTTGGGGGTGCTTTTAAAGATAAACCCTTTTCTGTACTACATGTACTGAGTGCATTTTTTAATAGTTTTTGTAAATTTTGATTTACAACTAAGTTACCACTTCAGTTCTATCTTCAGCTAGTGTTGGGACACCTGAATAGTTTCTGCATACAGAAGAGCAGGCCTGTGTGTGCTGTGGCTACTTTCCTTAATGTACTGCTTCAGAATGCATTATTGTTATCAAAGTCTAAATTACTCCTTCCAGAAACATGCATTATTCTCTCTATATCTAAAAGCACTTGGCTGCAGCTTAAAGAAAAGCAACTGTGCTACATATATTTCAGAATTTCTCTATACACACAAAATAATTTTACAGGTACTAAACACTCATGGAAAACTAACTTTCAGAACAAAGAAACATTCCCCTCTTCTAAAAGACCTTACCTAAAACCCATTCTGTATGTCCTGCAGGCATGAGCAACCCAAAGGACAGAAAAAGCTTTCAAAGACTCTGCATTCTTTCTCCTTGCTTCTTTACCAGCCTCCACAACCCCACCAGCCATTACTGCGACTGTTAGGACAGGAGCTAGGGCTCATTATGCGACAAAACCCTGCAGACAAGACGGGAAAACACTCCAAACTGCATATCATTAAATCAGTGTTCTTGATTTACAAGCAATCACAGAATGATTGCCTGCCCAGGAACCACTGTGATAGCAAGTATCAGGAAACTCTGAAATTCAGAGAGGAATTTTACTTTTTAACAGCTTAAGGAATTTCTCAGGAAGGCAAACTAACTTTTAACCGAACTATCAGACCAATTCACTATAATAATAGTAAGTACCTTAAGGCAAAATATTCCATGATAATTTTCTATAACAAGAACAAAAGATGCATCTTGAGGCAGGAGAAATGCAGCAAGGCTTCCCATGAAACCAAAATGACTGCTGTCTGTAACCCATAGAACTTGTATTAGTTTAACATTTTAGTATGAAAATAGGACACCATTTGGAGCAATAATGATTTTATAAGGAATAATCACTGTGGATTTTAATGAACAGTGCTAAACTATAGTCTATTTCCATTTTTTTATTGAACATTAAGGACATGCTTGACAGAACTGCCGGAATTTTATCTGCATTGTTCCAAGGACAGTTCCCTTTAAGGGTGAAGTATTTCAAGAAAATATTTTAAAAATATGTATTTACTCAAACCACATTATACTATCTTACCACATGCTTTCAGTCATCCTCCCATTATACTCTGAAGTTAACGAGTACTGCAGTCCCAATTATCTCAGAAAAAAAAGTTAAAGGATGAATGACTTTACAAAGACTGCAATATGAAAATACAATGTATACATAGAACAATTTCAGCAGGTAAGTGGAAGCTCACAATCTAATTGTCCATCACTAGAAGTGGAGAATAATGAAGATTGGCAGAGTTTACCTATGTTGTTATAAGAGTTTAATTACAGAAAAAAAAAAAAAAGAAGCATAGTCACTAGAAAGACTCACACAGTATGTCACGAGTATTTCTTTAGCAGTGAGAGCATAGTATACATTGAGGCACCTTCCCTATTATCTTAACAAATCACATTTATCTAATAGTGAGCAACTTAATTTTCTAAGATTCGGCGCTTCATCTTTTCTTCATTTTGTTTTTATTTGAAAGCAAGAGAAGGCAATGTTTAATCCTGCTATTTAATATGTACATCCTTTCAATTTACTTTTTGGTTTTTACTTCCCCAAGCCCCCTAGTTTTGTTTCATGAACTAGGTTTATATGATTTCTTAACCAGCCGAAAGTTTTCTAACTGTTTGGCCACTGCCTATCATGCCTACAGTATAGTGTCCTTGAGTTACATGTACAGTTAATTTCTTTGTAATATAGGTGATTTGAAAACTATTAGCTAAAGCTAAGGACCACTCCTGTGGTCAGACAGATAAAAAGTAAAAGCAGTGGAAAACAAATTTTAATCTAAGTCAGCAGTTAGAGTAGATTTTGTGAAATGTTCACCATAGAGTTTTGGTTTTTGTTTTCGTAAAAGACTCATGCTCTTGTGTTAGTGCAGGTTTCAGGTGGGGCTGTGTAGATTTTAGGTATGCATGCTTCAGGTTCAAGGGATACAGACTTTTTGCACATTCTGGAAATAATATTTCAGCATAGAGTAAGCATGAAACAGAGACTGTCATAAAAAATGCAGTGCTGCCTAATTAACAATAGAATTTTTCCTCCAACTCAGACAAAACAGTCATGCAAACTAGGCTTTTTAATATTCCAGGCCATCAAGCCAAACCCTCAGAAACAGACTCATTTGAAGTACAAATACAGTTGTGGTTTAACCCATCAGGCAGTGGTTTGCTCACTTCCCACAAATGTTGTATGGCAGAAAATATTTATATATCTATATCTATATCTGTATCAACTATATCTAGCTATATCATCTATACCTACACCTAGCTCTATCTCAATCCACTATGCAACTACTGGGCACCTGACACCCTGCTCACTGACTGATGCACCAAAACTGATGAACCAAACCAACCAACACTCAGCCAATCCCTGAGCAGCAGTCTTCTTGCTAGCATTGTTCAAATGAAAAGAGATGGATCAGGATTTCTTGAAGTACACTGTCTATCACTAACGGTTCAGCAGCTGGTCTGCCTACAGAGTCAATAT